CTTTATCCCCATTTCCATTTCCAAGTTCTTCCCTTACCTGTGTAATTCAGTAATCTGTCTTCCTTTGAAAGTCATGCTGTCCTTTCCTACCAGCCAGTCAAAATCCTGTTAGTTGTTGTCTATAGACCTCCAGGCCATTCTCTTTCCTTCCTCAGTGAGTTTTATACTTGGCTTACAATTTTTTCTCTCCTCTCTATCTCCTACCCTCATACTTCAACATTCATATTTGTTCTCCTTCAAATACCCTAACCACTTAGTGTCTAAACTAACTCACCTCACATGGGCTACTCCTCCATCATACCTCAGCCATACACAAAGATGGTCATATTCTCCATCTTGCTATCACCCACAAATGTACCACCTTCATATTCAAAAATCCTGAAATCCCCATATCCAACTATGAACTGTTGACTTTTCACCTCTTCTCCTGCATTCCCTTACAAAACCCCATTCTTCAGCCATGACCTCCCATCCCTTGATGCCTCAATTCTCTCCCAGGCCATCTCCCCTGAACTAGACACTCTCCTCTCTTCTCCCCAATCTTGACTCCCTGTTGAATTCACCTCTACACTGTCCTATTGAGTCCCTAGTCCCTTTATGGTATTACTGATTATGCTTAGCCTTGGATCACTCACACAATTCATTGCCTTTATTCCTATACATGTGACATTGAACAAAGGTGGAAAAAAACCACATAACCATTCTGTAGGTTCACTACAAATTTATGTCACACAACCTCAACTGGGTCTTCACTGCTGCTATGCAACTTACTTTAATAACTCCCTTATCAACTTATCCCACTCTCCATAGCAGCTCTTCCAAACCTTTTCATCCCTTCCCAAACCTATTTTCTCAGCTAAGAATCTTCCCTCATGTTTTATAGACTATATTGAAGCTATTTGCCATGAACTCCCTCTTCTTACCTCTTCCCTATCTCCTATCAGGTGCCTTCTGCCACTCTTTCCTCCTTTACTCCTGTCTTATATGATGAAAAGCCTTACTTCTTACCAAGGCTAACCCCTCTAGTTGTTCAAGTGATCCCATTCTGTCATGTCTCCTCTAATAGATTGCCCCCTGTCATCTCCACACTTTCACTTATTTTCAGTCTCTCCTTGTCTACTGGTTCATTTCCTACTGCATACAAACATGCTTCTGTCTCCCTTATCCTGGAAAAAAAAACCCTCACTCGATCTTTCCATCTCTGCTATTGTCCTATATCTCTTCTGCCCTTTGTAGCTAAATTCCTCTAAAAGGCCATCTACAATAGATGCCTCCACTTTTTCTCCTCTCTTTTCTTCTCTCTCTTGCTAACCCCTTATAATCGGGCTTTCAACCTCATCATACCACTGACACTGCTCTCTCCAAAGTTACCAGTAATGTCTTAGTTGCCAAATCCAATGACCTTTTCTCTGTCTTCATTCTCTTCAGCCTCTCTGCAGCCTTTGGCACTGTTGATCACCCTTTCCTCCTTGATATTCATGTCTCTGTAGGTTTTCAGGACACCACACTCTCCTGGTTCTCCTCCTATATATCTGACCACCCCTTCTCACTGTCCTTTGCTGGACCCTTATCCATATCATGCCTAATAACCATAGGTATCCCTCAAGGTTCTGTCCTGGGCCCTTTTCTCTTCTCCTATACTACACTTGGTGGTCTCATCAGCTCCAATGGATCTAATTTCCATCTTATATGCTGCTGATTCTCAAATCTATCTATCCTACCCTAGAATCTCTGCTGACCCCCAATCTCACATTTCCAACTGTCTTTCAGACATCTCGAACTGGATATCAAGTAGACATCTTAAACTCAATATGTCCAAAACAGAACTCACTTCCCCCTAAACTATTCCTCACTCTACCTTCCTTATTACTGTAGAGGACAACACCATGCTCCCAATCCCCCAGGTTCACAACCTAGGAATTATCCTGGACTACTTACTTTCATCCCCATATCCAAGCTGTTGCCAAGGCCCATCAGTTTCACCTTTGCAACAACATCTCTCGAATACACCTCCTTCTCTCCTCTGGCATTGCCAATACTCTAGAGCAGGCCCTCATCAACATCAGCCTGCTGGTGGATCTGCCTGCCTCAACTCTCTTCCCCACTCCAATCTTTCTTCCATTCAGCCACTAACGTGATTTTCCTAAAATGCAGGTTCAATCACAGTACCTCTTTACTCAATAAACTCCAGTGGCTTCCTATTGCCTTCAGGAGCAAATTCCAAATGTACTCTTTGACATCCAAACCCCTTCATAACATTGCCCCCTCCTACTTTTCCAGCTTTCTGAGCACCCTTCCTAAAATTCAGTGTTTCTCTTTTTCTCAATACCCAGCCACACCACCCCCACATACCTATACTGGTATCACAATTCAGGCCAATTATGGCCAGCTTCATGCTTTCTTTTTGCTAGATATACTGAGCTTACTGCTGCTTGCTTCACTGCTATCCTTGAACATGGTGCTGACAACTCATCATAAAACTATTTCTTTTTCCTAAGGACAAAATTTTGACGTACCAATCTTAGATTTGATTTAAAAGGGCTTTCTTCTAAATCCTAGATTTTATACCTCCACCTAGTAGGCATTCATTACAGGGATTCAAAGAATAAAACCACTGCTTTTACTCTAAGCTTACAGTTTAGTAAGGGAGCTAAAACATGTACAAAAGTAACCATAATACAAGACTGAATATCAAAGTAATCAGAGATTAGCAGTGTTGTGGGAATTCAGCTGAGGAAGACTCAAAAAAAGCTTCAGAAGATTGCATTTGAACTGGACCTTAAAGAATGGGTAGGAACCACGGGTAGTCAAAGCTAGGACAAAAGGCATTCCAGAAACAGATGTGAGCAAAGGGAGGCAAAAATGTCTGGAATCCATTTCTAGAATGGCAAGTACTCGAGTTTGGTTAAGGTATGGGATGAACAAAGATAAGTATTGTAAGATTAATTTGTAAAAACAATTTGAGGTTCAAGCCAAGACACTGAGAAAGAAGTGCTCTTAGGGGGGAAAAGAGAGAGTTTCTCTTCTCTCCCTTTTCTCCATTCCCCCCTCCACCCAATTTACTATGTCATTGGAAGGCTCAAACCAATAGAAGAAAAAGCATCTAATCAGGAGTTGAGAGAGATTCATTAAAGACAAGCATAGATAAATATGAATGCAGAGGAAGGGAGGAAGTAACTTCAAGAATTATAAGCCCTTTCAGGACACCCTGCATATGTATGATTTGTTTAGTAAGTCATCTCACTAACGTGCATTCACATTACATACTATGAACAATTAATGAATAGCAAGTTTAGATGCAGGTAAAATTCAGACTCAACATTTTCGTGTTATGCCTTCCCTACGCTTCCCAAAGCACAGATGCTGCATTGGGGTGTTCCTTTAGATCTTCTCTTCTTCGTGTTGTCCCCAGTTGCAGCACGTTCTTCCAGGACTTGTTGCTGCCATAATCCATTCCTCTTCTTATCTCTGCCACCTCCTATTCCATAACTGATCCCCTCAGGGCCAGGTTCCCCTTGAATTCCAATACATATTCAAGTAACTATTTCATGGAAAGGGGGCTAGACAGTGGGGTTAGAGGGGGATGAAAGGAGCTTATGGACAATGTTACTTAATGCACTAACTGCAGGCCCACCTATAATAATCTAAAATATTTCCTTGTATATCTTTTATTCATCTATCTATGATTGAAAATTATTATTCTATCAAGTCATGAGTGACAACAAGATAGGCAAGCCAGAATAGTCTTTTCAGTAACTTGGTTATAGCTAGGGAACATAGGTTATACCTAGAGGTATACATGGTATGGTAGATAGGATGATAGATCTGTAGATAACCTGCTAAAACCAAGTAGGATGTACCAACGCTCCTCCCTCTAGTACCTGGGCCACATATGTGTATTATAACAAAGGCCTTCTGAAGAGAGTAAATATTTTGTCTTTCTATTGTATTGTGTTGTATTTTTTGATGTTTTTAATTTATAGAACAAAATAAACATTTCCATAATGTAGTACAATAAAAAAGATGATTGTACATGAAACTACCAATCTGCTATGCACAACTTGCTGTTACTTTCAAATATACGACAAAATTATCATGTAAATTTTTTTCTTTTTTTCTTCCCTTTTCCCCTCCTGCCCTAGAGATGGCTACCATTAGACACAAATAGGTGTGTGTGTATATATACATACACACACACATATATATATTTGCACACATGCATATATATATGAATATATGTAAAATTATTCTATATATACCTCTATGTATCAGTTCTTTCTCTGGATGCAGATAGTATCTTTTTTCACATGTCCTTTATAGCTAATTTGGGTATTATAATAGACAAAATAGCTTATTTGTTCAAAGTCATTCCTAACACAATAAAACAATATTGCTATTACTATATTCAATGTTCTCTTGGTTCTGCTCATTTAGTTCTTCATTATTTCTTGCAAGTCTTTCCATGTTTTTCTAAAATCATTGAGCTCATCATTTCCTATAGCATAGACACAATCATATATGGTGTTGTATTAATATATATAAATTTATAAATCAAAAATAAAAGAAAATAAGCCATGAAATTGGCATAAAATCTCCTGTATAGGTAAAAGCACTCAAGTTAATAGTCTTAAGAATAAACAAAAATGGCTCTTATCCCTTAAGATACCTTTATCTTAAGCTATGTCCCCTCTAGTGATTTTGCTTCTTTACCTGACCCTTGAGTCAAAATGGAAACTAGATAATTGGTTCAGGTGGGCAATCTCATCACAGAAAGAACAGTCATAACCTAAAATATTCACTGTACCCAAAAGCTATTTCAGAACTCTATCATGATGGATACATACTTAGAGAACCAACTATCAGGAAAACAAGTTTACTGGTAAGTAAGTAGTATTTTTAAAGTATCACATGTAGTTTAGAAGTTCTGTGAGCCTAATTTGGGTGTCCTGGGGAGTCATGTTTCTTGCAATAGAAAGTAATCTATAACTTTTCCATCATAGTGGTAATAATGGTGAATTCCTCCATTAAAATTTTGGATAATCTATTTCTGATATTTCCTAATCACAACTTGGGGCAATCTATCAGCAGATTTTATGAAAACTACGAAGCCCAGAAATACTGTACCTCTGCTGCTGCTAAAGATTGTGAAGAGAAAGGTGAGTATTCAAGCTCAAGTAACAGTTTCTTTTCTCCAGGCTTCCATGTTTAGTAGCTGAAGGAGAAGAGATGGCGTGTCATTAAGACCACTGTCAGTATATAAGTTATTTCCCCAGCATGGGGACTCTCTGTGAAGCAATTTAAGACCTCAAGGAAGACATAAAGGACAAATGCTTTAGAGGTGTTACTAGTAGTTTGCTCTCCAGAAAATTAATTACATTGATCCTTTCAGAACAAGAGGACCCTGCTGAATAGGAATAGGGTCATGGGGCTCAGCGTCTGATCTTGTGACAGAAAGCAAGCAGTTAAACTCTGTGTCAAATGGGGAAGATAGTTTACAAATACCTTAGCCTCTTTAATCCATTAAAAATTTTAAGATTATGACTCATAAGTTGAATATTTTAGAATAGAAAAAGAATAAGAACTTAATGGGCCATTAAGCCAGCCAACAATTAGCTTAGGTTTAATTCATGTTCTTTTGGACTAGTGAACTGTCCCAAGAGCTCCAGCTTTGTGGTGTTCTCAGGGTCTAGTTTCTGCTAGTGGTGTTGCCTTAATAGTACAGAGATGGATGATAATAATTGATTGAAACCCTAAAACAAACGATTTTAAGGCAGCCTGAAATAAATTAGGCTAGTTCTAAAATTTTTGTAATGTTGGAGAAAAGGGCAAGGAAGTCTTCATCTCAAACTGAAACCCTGGTTAAAATCTTGTCTTCTTCACCAAAACCTCCATATTGTGGCCTCTAATTGTTTTTTTCAGTAAAGCTAGTATGGAGGTTGAATTAGCCCAGCTCTGTGGAGCACCTGCCTACACATTCAAGTAACTATGTCATGAAAAGGGGGACAGAGGGTGGGGTGAGAGGGGATGGAAGAGGCTTATGGACAATGTTACTTAATGAACTATATGCAAGCCTACCTATAATAACCTAAAATATTTCCTTATATATCTTTTATTCATCTATGTATGATTGAAAATTATTATTCTATCAGGTCATGAGTAACAACAAGATAGGTAAGCCAGAATAATCTTTTCGGTAATCTGGTTATACCTAGGGAACACAGGTTATACCTACAGGCAACATGGTATGGTGGATAGGATGATAGACTGGGAGTCTGGAAGACCCGATTTCAAATTCTTCCTCAGAAACTTAAGAGCAATGTCTATTTTGACAAGACATTTAACCTCTATGGTTCCTCATCTGTAAAATGAGAAGATTGGGCTCAATGACCTTTAAGGTCTGTTCCATCTCTAAAGTTATGATTCTGTGAATCGATGATACATATTGAAGGTATGAACATTAAGTTGTCAGTCTGTGTATGGACAAGTGCATGAATACCATAAGTTCAGGTCACACACCAGTTAATTAGCAAAAGAAGAGGGAAGCAAGCAAGCAGCATGATTCCAATTAACAGGCAAGTAATAAACTAAGTATGCAGTTATTAAGTACCTACAGTGTTCCAGGCACCATGATAAGTGCTGGGGATACAAGGACAAGAATTAAATTCTCCATGCCCCCCAAGTAGCTTATATTCTAATAAGGGTAATAATGTGTATACATATAAGTACATATTAAATATATGTACAAAATTTAGGTTAATTTGGAGGGGAAATGGCAGTAGGAACTAGGAAATCAAGAAAGGCTTCATGTAAAATCAAAAGGTTGAACTGAGTTTTGGAAAGAAAAAAGAGATTTTAAGAGGCAGAGGAGAGCCATTCATTTTATAGAATTAGATTATTTAGTTTCCAGTTATTTTTAGTCTATCTTTCCGTGGCCCTTTATTACATATAATTTTTATTACATTATGATCTGAAAAGGATGCATTTAATATTTCTGCCTTTCTGCATTGGATTCTGAGGTTTTTATGCCCTAGTACATGGTCAATTTTTGTGTATATGCCATGTACCACCAAGAACAAAGTATATTCCTTTCTATCCCCATTCAATTTTCTCCAGATGTCTACCATACTTAACTTTTCTAATATTCTATTCACCTCCTTAACTTCTTTCTTGTTTATTTTGTGGTTAGATTTATCTAATTCAGAGAGGGGGAGGTTGAGGTCCCCTACTAGTATAGTTTTACTGTCTATTTCTTCCTGTAACTCCCTGAACTTCTCCTCTAAAAATCTAGAGGCTATACTATTTGGTGCATATATGTTTAGTAATGATATTATGTCATTGTCTGTGGTGTCTTTTAGCAGGATGTAGTTTCCTTCTTTATCTCTTTTGATAAGATCTATTTTTGCTTTTGCTTTGTCTAAGATCAGGATTGCTACCCCTGCTTTTTTTTTACTTCAGCTGAAGCATAATATATTCTACTCCAGCCTTTTACCTTTACCCTGTGTGTGTCTCTCTGTTTCAAATGTGTTTCCTGCAAAAAATATACTGCAGGATTATGGTTTTTAATCTATTTTGCTATCCATTTCTGTTTTATGGGAGAGTTCATCCCATTCACATTCACTGTTATGATTATTTTTTGTGTCTTTCTCTCCATCCTATCTCCCCCACTTAAACTTTTCTTTCTCCTTTCTCCCTTTCCCTCCTCACTAGTGTTTTGCTTTCAACCACTGCCTCCCTCAGTCCTGCCTCCCTTCTCTTAGCCTTTCCCTTTTCTTCCTCTTTACCCTTATTGCCTCTTCCTTCCTTCTATCCCCCTTCCCTTTTCTTTCCCTTTTCCCTCCTACTGCCTACAGGGCAAGTTAATTCTATACCTAACTGATTATGTTATTCCTTCTTGAGCCAAATCTGATGAGAGTAAGGTTCAAAACAATGCTCATCTGCCTCCCTTCTTTCCCTCTACTGTAATAGCTATTTCTGCCTTTTCCTGTAAAGTAATATACCCTTGTTTGCCTCCTCCTTTCCTTTTCTCCCAGTACATTTCCCCTAGTTAGATCAGATTAATCCACTTACTTAGATCCATTTAAACCCACTTGATTAGTTTTTTTTATCATTACATCAAAGTCAACTTATACCCACCCCCTCTATGTATACTCCTTTAAAGTGGTGTAATAACAATACAGTTGTCAAGAGTTACAAGTGTTCATTTTGCCTTGTAGGGATGTAAACAGTTTGCCCTTATTAATAACATGTTTTTTTTCTCTCCTGTTTGCCTTTTCATGTCTCTTTGAGTCTTGTATTTGAAGATCAAATTTTCTGTTGAGCTCTGGTCTTTTTATCAGAAAGGTTTGGAAGTCCCCTATTTTGTTGAATGTCCATCTGCTCCTCCCAAAGATTATGCTCATTTTCACTGGGTTAATCCTTGGCTGCAATCCAAGCTCCTTTGCCTTAAGGAATATCGTATTCCATGCCCTATGATCTTTTAATGTACAAGCTGCAAGGTCCTGCATAATCCTAACTATGGTTCCATGATATCTAAATTGTTTCTTTCTGGCTGCTTGCAGTATTTTCTCTTTGGAATTTGGCTACTATATTCCTTGGCATTTTCAATTTAGGATCTCTTTCAGGAGGTAATCGTTGGATTCTTTCTATGGCTATTTTACCATCTGGTTCTAGGACCTTAGGGCAGTTTTCCTTGATGATTTCCAAAAGATGAAGAGGCAGAGGTGAGGAAAGAATGCATTCCAGGCATGAGGTCTAGCCAAGGCTAGAATTGTAAAAGTCATACAAGAAACAACAAGAAAGGTATTTTGGTTGGCTGCTACTGTTCACAAAAGGAGATTTAGTCAGTGTGACTGAGGCAGTGGAGAGGGATCAGGTCAAGCAATGACCACTACAGGCTGGACACCTATGGAACACAAAAAACATGGGTCCCAGCATGGAGAGACTGACTAACCAAGGTCAGGAACCCTGGCTTGAAGAGGCCTGAGACAGAAGCTAAAAACCCGAGATAAAAAGCAACTGGGGGAAGGGGGAAGCACGCAAGGAGGTGGTGCAGTGGGTACAGCACTGGCCCTGAAGTCAGGAGGACTCAAGTTCAAATCCAGCCTCAGACCCAACACTTGAACTTACTAAGAGTCTGACCCCGGGCAAGTCACTTAACCCCAATTGCCTAAAAAAAAAAAAAAGCAACTGGGTATTCAGTGCCATCAAGAAGAGAATCATTAAATTAAACAAGGAGTTCTAGCAACAGTGTTATGACCCCAGAGAACACTTAGCTTCTGTTGTTTTTTTTATGCTACCTGCTCAATGAGGGTGGCAGATAGCTGTCAAACACATATGATTAGGCAGAAATGTCACCCGCTTTGGATTTTGAGGGAAGCAAAGGCCTAGACTCCAGGGTTGGGGAACCTGTAGCCTCGAGGACACATGGCCATCTAGATCCTTAAGTGCAGCCTTTTGACTGAGTCCAAGTCAAAATTTTACAGAACAAATCTTTTTATTAAGGGGCTGCACTTGAGGACCTAGAGGGCATGTGGCCTCAAGGCCGCAGGTTTCCCACCCCTGGCCTAGACTACATAAAAGTAAAAAAATTGTTGAGAAATTTATCTTCACTCTTTGCCCCAAACAGTGGCATTCCATTCCCCTACTTCAGTTTGTTGCAGTCTGACAGGTTGAGACCCCTCAAAGACTGAAGTACAGGACAGGGTCATCTGGAATGAATTCATAGACTCAAGTATTCTCTAAGTCAAGGTGACAAAGATTTATTGTTACACTTTTTAGCAGGCAAGGATTCTTAAGAAACCTGCGACCTTACAGAGGTACAGTTAAAGTTTATATAGGATAACATATAATAAAACGTGTGTCAAATATGCTAACTAGGTGATTCAGGGTGGGATTAGGGAGTGGTTAAGGAGTGGTCAGTTCTTAAAGGAACATGCACTTCTTGTACTTACAGCACAGGCGTTTTATCCATAGTTCACTAGGAAAAGCCCACAAGGGGGGCCACATGGAGGTGTGGTTTTAGGCCTGCTACATCACTAAGTTAACTAGAGTTCAGTGGTAACTGAGAGTTGTCCACTCTGCCACCAGTCAATGTCTTGTTTGACAAGATAGATGTAGGGAATATACATATGTCTTAAGTCTAGAATACAGATAATAA